TGTGTATGTTTGCCAAAGGCACCACGGAGAGAGAGAGAGAGAGAGAGAGAGAGAGAGAGCCCCCCTTCCCCCCCGTACTCACCCGAAGTGCCGCTTTTTCTGCTGGTGGTGGGCCAGCTGGCGGGGCGTGACGAAGGAGCGGTCGCACACGTTGCATGTCAGGGCCTCGTCTGCGGAACACAAAAGGGAAAACGGGTTTCAGCTCAAACAACACGAGGCGTGCACACCCCTCACACCGCGAGCAAACACATGGCAGCACAGGCAGCGTCTCATATTCGCACGAGTAGGAGTGCGGAAAGTAATAAGAACTCGCATTACGTTTTGTTGCGGGGAGAAAGCGGACAAGGAGAAGAAGGGGTCGGGTGTGGTGTAGGCCGCGGAGCGAGTCCGTCCGGCTGACGTATCTTTCTTTCGCCCTCCGCCGTCTCTTCGCTTTCTCTCCTCCACATGTGGCGGTGGCGGCTGTTATATTTCTCCCTCCCTCCCCCCTTCTTTTTTTTCCCTCCCATTGGAATTGTTTTCCGGCCACAAATCTCAGCGCGCAACATCCGCCAGACGCGTTTAGGAAGAGGAGGAGGAGGTAAACGGTTTCAGCGTGCAAGTAGTTGCCCCCCCTCCCCTCCCTGCCCTGTCGTCCTCGGGGCGGTGGCGGTGGTGGAGGTGGTCGTGCGCTCCGCAACCACCGCGGCGGGGGGAAACCGGAGGAAACGAACAAGGCAACGTATGGGTGGGATAGGGGGGAAAAGGGGGGGATGGGCGGGGGGTGGACGGACGTCTGCTGCTTGGCAATGCCGAATATTGTATTGATATCCGATATAAAAAGGCAGGGGAATAAATAACTGTCGCTATGGATATTGACTGGACAGAGACCGCTGTCCTGCGCGTCCACAAACACGACGCACTGTGCGCGGGTGGACCCGGGGAGCTTTGCAGAGCGAGTGAGAGAGACCCGCATCGCTTGGTCCCCCCACGCCCCTTTTCACCCCCACCCCCTTTTCCTTCGGCACTTAGCAGAATTTCATCCGGGGGCCTTGGCGGCGGCAGCAAGGCAGGACGCTGGAGGCTCTCGGCGAGATTAGACGCTAAGAATCAATCCAGAGCCGCGCATCGCCGAGCAGCAGAGTGGGGGCTGTTCACGAGCGGCGGCCTGCTCGAAAGAACTTCTGTCCAAATGGGTTTATAGCGCCACGGCGGCGCACTTTTCTTCACAGCGACGATCCTCTTGGCGTAGGTTAGCTCCCCCACTTCCGCGGGAGAGCGGTCTTTCCGCTTGTATTCCTTTGAGAGACTTACTTGTGCGTGTGTGCGTAAAATACGTTCTACGGAAAACGAGGAGTCAAGTTTCTCGCTCCCTTTGTGAACATCCTTATTTTTTTACTCTACAAACTCGATTCTTGTATGAAGTGTGCCATGCGGCCATCATGTTTCCTTGATACGCAAAGTAGAACAAAAAAAAAAATTCCCCCCTGCCCACGACTTTCATGATTACTCTGCTGTCTGGTTCCCATCGACTGGTGGAGCTCGTATGAATAAGGGGCCACGCGTTCTCTCCGTACCGTCTGTTGTGGGAACGTGGGCGCCAACGCACCGCACCGCGCCGATATATCAATTATAGTTTTGCGGCAAACTAACAGCCAGTCGAGGAGGGGAGGCGGCCAACTCTGGCCCCGGGCCGCGCGGCCGGCCCCGCAGCTAATAACCTGTTGGCTGCTCCTCGCCCCGACCCGCCCCGCCCCGCGCCAAGCTCGCGAGCTGTTTCATTCCGCATCAAGGGAATGTGTTTGGATCGCAGTAATAATGGAGAGTACGGCCGGCAGTGTTGCCCGCGATCGGACCGGCGTCACGACCGTTATGCGCCATGCTAGTGCGATCCCCGAGCGAGCGCGTGGGCGCGGCGGCGAGTAGTATTGCTATACGCGCTTGTTTCTTATTGGGGCCGTTTCGGGTGTTTTCACGCCGTGCGCCGTGAGTGTGCAGGTGCGCGGGGGCTTGGCGCGGGGGCTGGCGCGGGGGCGGGTGTGCCTTCATTAAGACGCCCATTCCACGACATCGCGTGCAACGCGTGACTTTAGCAATAAGGGGGGGGGGGGGGTGAATGCCCTCTGGCGGGGCGCAAAGCTTGCGCTGCTGGTCCCGGAGCGCGTGCCCGAGCGGATAACGCGATCAAGCTGACACCTCTCTGCGCCCATATATAGGGTTGGCCAAAGGTGATGTTCTCGAGCGGGCAGTTTCGACTTTGCAGTGTTTGCCGTAAAGATTAACGGCCGGTCGTCCGGACGGCCCGCCCGCCCCCGCCCCTCTTCCCTCACAGGCCCTCCTCGCCCTGCTCTGTCCCTTTTCTACCCTCACTCTCCCCCCGCCCTACCTTTATCTGCCCCTCACGCCCGGCGCAGCAGTCCCCCTACTGACCCTCCCATGACGCGCGGCTACGTGAGGTTAAGATCGTAAAATATGACTCGTCACCTTTTTCGTGACAACGTTCGGGAAGAGGGGCAGGGGTTGGGGCGGGGGAGGAGGGAGAGGTGGGCAGAAGTTTACGGAGGTTGGGCGTGATCAAACAACCCGCCGAGCCCAGCCAGGCCACGCCTCAGCTAATAAAAGTGAGAGACGCCGAAAGGAGCTCTTCCTTCCTCAACTCAACCCGCAACATCAAAACGGGAGGAAAAGAAATGCTCGGAGGCGGGCGGAAGAGTAGATATATTTTTCACGGAAATGGCGTGTGGTTCGGTGAAATTAAAAGAGAGAGAGAGAGAGAGAGAGAGAGAGAAGATTGAAACCGAACAAGACGTAGCATCCCCATCCTGCCGCGTCATGGCGCTTTGCGGCGGGCTCGGGCCGGTTTTAATGATCGAAGCGGAGCAGCGGCGCGCAGCCCGCGCAGCCTGGCCCGACAGAATGCTCGCCGGCGTGTGGGAAATGAATAGAACGCCCGTTAGAGTGCGCGATACTAAACTGAGCATTGCTATTGACACGGTCGTTACGAAATGCGGAGAGCGGGGCCGCAGAGACCAGAGCAGGCACTGCCAAAGGATGTTGAGGG